AGGATGGCAAACTCAGAAGGAAAATGCATAAGCTAAAATGGGAGTCCTATGGTACTTTTTTAATGAACATGTAACTTCTCCCTGATATTTCGTGATACACAGTCAGAGCAAAGTCCATCAGTATTTCCTTGTCATAATAAAATACCTGTGCTGTAGCTGGCAGTGATGTTTATCCTCCCGTAGCAGTGGAGATAAGCCATTGGTAGTGCAGCTGCTCCAATCACTTTCTTTAGCTCAGCATCTTACAACAATAATTCCAATTAAAGTAAACCTATGGAAGGTACCAGGCTACCAGCTCTGCTGAGCACAGCCCTATATCTAGCCAATGGTGCCGTGGGAGTTAGATGCTGAAAAAATCTCCAGAGCAGTTAATTAGGGGTGAGATAAGAAAGGGTTTATTATGCCAAGGCAAAGATGTTACAAGATGTGCGTGCCTGAGATGTTACATTTTATGACACCATCCATCCAATCCCAGATGTGTCCACCCTGTGGCCTTTACTCTGGTCCGCCCCAGGTCCACCCCCTGAAAATGGGTCTGGGGTGCATTTCGGGACCCCCTGTTCATCCCATCTTCATCTTCATCAGAGCACAAAGGGTACATAGTTACCTAATTCTTGATCATATTCTGTGGTTTAGGCCCTGATATGCTGTTCTGCCAAAAATCTAGGCCTTACCTTGACAAAAGACTAAACATTTCTGCTGTATTCGGGGGTAGGAGTGATATAGGGAGCATAGAATGGGATAAGAGGGTTAAGGAATGTGTAAACAAGGGTGCTGCAGGGAAAGGGACAAGGGAGGGAGTGAGGGATGCTGCTTTTAGAGTCTACTTCCACTACTTATAAAACTTACAAGTATTAGAAAAATAAAAAAACGTTAGGGGCTTAAGGCATCACCACAAAATCTGAACTCAAGTAGCTGTAGCAGCACAAGCTTTCTCATGCTGTCTTGAGCATACATCCTTCCTCCTACACTCAGAGGTAATAAAAGGAGCTCAGCTGGGTCTGTCTCTCCATCTGTCATGAACTGAGGTCTGCAGCAGAAGTGAAGATCGAGGTTTAGGGGCTGAGTACTGAGAGTCCTGCTCCCAGCCTGTGATGACAAATGCCATCTCAACCACAGTTCATGTCTGCATCAAACGTAGCTCAAAGGAAGCATTTGTACAAGGAGAAAGAGAAGCAGTTATACTTTGATAAATATTGCCCTTTATTTTTCTCTTTTTTCTTATTTTTTTTAAATGGAATTAACTCTTTCCTAAGTGAGATCAGCCATGGAGAGGCTGGAGTGGAAAACAAGAGCTGCAGGAGAGGAAGTCAATCTCTGTGTATGTGAATGGATAGTGAGTGCCATCCTGGTTAATAATTCAAATAATTACAAGCAGGAGAGGCATTTTGCTTTTTGTGTTCATCTTTTCCAATAGGACAGGATGATGCGGATTACCCTCACTTGTTCAGTACAAATGTCACTTCACAGCCTGATATAATATGACTAATTATGTTACTGACTTGTTAGAGCCAAAGACCTGAAGGGTACCTGTAGCTCATCCTCCATCATCCACCCTTTTTTCACCTTCACCATAAGTTAAACAGCAGACAAATGCACCTAGTTTTTTCAATCTCTTATGATTGGTTTGATAGCATTGGTATGCCACTGGTTGAATATCATACAGTAGAAGGGGAGGTATTTTAATTTTATTTTTTTTTTAAATCTTCAGTTCCAATGGAGTGGGTCTGGAATCTGACATTCATACAGATACTGAAAGAAGCTCCTGTTCAAATATTCGGTGAGCAGTAGCCTCCATGTTGAGGCCAGGAGCCCATTTGGCTGGACTACACCAGCAATAAAGGAGCAAGATATTTGTATGCAAGGTCAGCAAGCAGGCAGAGGACACACACTATGGGCCAGACTAGGAGGGAGAGGCAGGACAGCTACGGGTCTTGAAGTTGTGAGTGGATTCATTTAGGTCAGGGATTCAGAAGGGAGTGTGACTAATTTAGATCTAAAGGGTGAAGATGAGCTTAGCAGTTGTTTTGGCCACATGGATATTGGTAGATGGCGAAGGGAAAAAAGATTGTCAGACACGTTGTGTAACAGAGGACAGCTACTAGGAAGTCAGGTGCTATACTCTTCTTTCAATACATACCTGTTTCACTTTCAGTCCCTGTTCCCTTTTGGTTTATGTTGTATTAAATCTCAATACTAAAATAAAGACTCAAATTTTGGATTTTTCAAATGCTCTGCTGGCCAATGTGGCCGAAGGAGTGGTGTTCTCTGAGGATGCAAAGTTGAAGCAGATCCTGCAGCACCAGTGTTCCTCATCAACTTAGTAATTAAATAAATCCTGCCACAACACTTTTAAATGAACAAAGTTGTGGGTACTGTTTTGCGGGTACTCCTCTTTCTGTTTAGTTACAGTGTAGGCTCACAGATGAAGTATGGGTACATAAAGATTTATGAAATTCACTCCAATGGTTGCATTCACGTGTGACCTATTTAGCATGTGGAAATCTGTTTAATGCTAAGAACTACATGAGATAATTCAAGCCACAGCTCACAGGGAGTCGTGTAATGAGGTTCTTCAGATTATTGTTGTGATTAGTCCATTCCCTTTCTCCTTCTCACTTAGGAAGTTCATTTAGGCAAGCAGTCATTTTAAGAGCATGCAAATGCTGATTGTTAGTGTCTATGGATCTGGCTAGAAGCCAGGCTTCTATGATGCCAACTACTATAGGCAGTGTGAAGTTAAATATGCATGACCTCATATAACGTTATCCATGGGCTTGCAGGCATTCTGCACCTGTAAAAATCCAAGCTATTCTGTATGCAAAGCATCTCTAGCATTGTTGAGGAATCGCTTAGTGTTCCAGTGCTCAGTGATCATCTAAACCCAGCACATGTTCTTTATCTTTATATGCTTTGGTAAGATCTAGAATAAAAAAAGTCGTTATTTAACCATGGTAAATCCAATATTTTGCTTTTGACAAGTGTGTACATATTGCACATGGGAAGGAGGGGAAAATTTCAAACTGACAACTTTGCAGTTATGTTAAAATCTGAGGAGTTTGCTGCTATCAAGACTTGGGGAATAAAAAGCTGTAGTTAGTATAAATAATGTATTTAGCAGTAAGGAATTAATAATGCATTATTAAGATCAGCATAGCATTAGGCAATTGCCTGAGGGCATAGAACATAATAAGTTTTATAAAAAAGGCAACTATATCTCAAGGTTATAAATCAGAATCTAAGTAGAATAAAATTTATAAATCCAAATAAAATCAGCTTCACCTAGTGTCAACTTACAAATATTTGTATAGTATTTAGGATCGACAATATCCATATTCTTAAGGAGATTCCACAACATTAGACTATTCATAAAGGAGCAAATTCTGACCTCATGAATACCAGAGGAACTCAGGGTATTGTTTTCAATTAAAAATGGAACTTCTAGGATAAGAAAAAAAATTGCCCCCAAATAATAGCAAATGTATAGTTTTACAACAAAACAGAATGCACAGAGCACTGACTTTTCACTTCAGATTTGAGAAGGATGACATGGACAATGCTCTACTCCAGTATTATCATCACTGCTGCATTGCTGGCATGTGGCACCCGCTCTGCAATTGCCCTTGCTTATAATTACAGAGCAGATGTAATAAAACAACTTTTCTAACTGTAAAAAGCACTGCTTTCTTATTTGTATGCCACACCATATTGCTGTTAAGCACTCAGCTTTGGGTTTGTAATGTTTTGAAGAATTAGGTCTAAATAAACAAAAACAAAGGGAGACTGGCAGCTTTAAGCTGATTGAGTGTCCTTCAGGGTTAAAACATGTTTGGTTGAAGAACAGAAAGATTCATTAATGCCTATTTATGATCTATTTTTAGGGTAATTCCAAGCAATTACTATGCATATGACTCAAGCACCCAGGCTGAATTCTAGCCAGGCAATAAAAGGATAATTTTGTAATGCCAGAGAGAGTCTTGAGCAGATTTGGAAGAAAATGCAAATCAACTGTTAGCATGATAAAGCCATGCACACTAACTCAGTTTCTGGAGCTCTCCATAACTTAGGAGACATTCACACTGGAAAATCAGATATCAACCAGCAAATGGATGCAGCACTGCTGGCTTTGTAATGTTTGGGGCTCTGTGCAGTTACTCTGCCGGGAGAGGTTGGAAATGAGCTCACCACTCTCCATTCCCTTTTTTACTCCCTGCAATGAAGTATGTGAGAAATACTGATGCCAAGTTTCCCACGGAGACATCAGGCACAGAGGGATGGAGAGATGCATATGCTGGCAAATATTCTTAGAGGTGAATGAATATATGTTCACAAAATCCCTTGCTCTCACACACCTAGGATCTTCCTTTCCTTTCCTTGTGGACTTTAAAGGAGTCAAAGCCTCATTTTCTTTCTTTTCCTAATTCTGCTCCTCCCGACACTCCTTTTCCCCAATGCCTAATATTTGTATCCATCTTTTCTTTTTCCTTTTCAGGACTCCACTGGGAACAGTGCTGCAGGGCAGGGCAGAGCAGTTGGGAGGGAGATCTGGGAAAGGCAGCTGCAGGCACTCAGTAACCTCTGCCAGAGAAGTCCTTCAACATGAGCCAGATTAATTCCAGACTGATTAATATCCCCAGATTAATTCTAGACTGATTAATAATTTCTGGAAGGCAGTGGAGAAAGTGTTTTTGTGCTCAAATGAGGGCAATGGCTATCAGAATACCTGAGCTAGCCATAGGTGAATAGCAAGTTAAGACAGACCATGTGCAGGAGTCCCCTTACCCTTCTGGAGCAGCACTACTGGGCCAGGCAAGATACCTAAGGACACCCGGTGGCATCTGTTCTTAGACACCTAGGAAGGAGTTGCAGGTAACCACCTCACAAGGGAAAGAAGTCCTCAGTACAGTGAAAAATGATGTCCTGCAGCCAAGAAATACTCTTCTGAAAAATCATTTTAGGCAAAGACAGCAGAACGGAAACAGGCAAGAAACCAATGACCGCGCTTTCATAAAGCATTTATTTTTTTATTTGAAAACATTATTACAGGCATTACATTGCCACAGCCAGTCCATATAGGTGCATGCAAATATCAAAATGGAGAAAGGTTTGTTCAGCTTTTCAATGCAGGATTTGGGGTTGGGATTTTGTTTGCCTGGTTTTGGTTTTGGTTCATACTTCCATCTGCAGTGTCAAGATTAGTGTGCTTTATTATGGCATTTAACAATAAAATCCTACCCATGGGGTAAAATTTTTATTTGTAGCTAGCTCAGGAATACTAAATGGTTTAAAAAAAAGGAAAGAAAATGATACTACACGCTTGTCAAAATGTTAATAGCACAAGTTAGCAATCTCTACACTATACATTGAAACTTCTTCTTATGACACAGTGGTGCAAAATTTTCAATTGCTTGGTCTATTGTTGTGTGTTTTGAAACTTTATAGCTGGAACAAAGACAAGGTCTGTTTCCCAGTGAAGGTTTTCATCCAGTAGCAGAAAATTACATCAGTCTTACTAAGGGCTGCCCAGAGCCAGCACTATAACAGAGGTTCAGTTTGTTCAGGCAAGGAGCTACACAGAGCTAGAGACGTCCTACGCAACACGGAGAGTAGCTGCCGGTTAGATAGCTGAGCCTTTGCTGGTGTGTACTGAGGTCTCCCACTGCAGAGAACAAGCAGGTAGAAGTAACGTTTTCCTTCACAAGACCCCAGTTTTTCAGTCAACATAGTTACTTGTAAAGCTATACTACTGTTTTCCTTTGAGGTCCATCCAGCACTAACATACCAGTGCTAATCTGAGTATCTGCCTTGTTTATCAGGAAACACAGGCAGCCCTGCTTTGCACATCAAACTCCTGAGCAAGTAGCACAGGGGATGGTGACTGGTCACTGGTCACACTGAGACATTCCTGACTTATTCCTGTACAACAGAGCCTTTTAAAAGAGCCTACTAAAATCGCTTCAGGTGACACCTCTCAGCCATCCGGGGATTGCAAACCCTTGTAAAGAAAAACTCCCAGCCCAGTGACTCGGCTGGGAGATGCCTCCTGCCCAGCTGTTTCAGAAAGACTCTAACAAACATCTACAAGTTAGTGTAAAAAAAATGGGGAGGGGGAAGCCGAAGGACTACAAACATTTGGCTTAAAAATAAATACTAATACCAAAATTAATCAAAATAGTTATGCAAAAGGAAGGAACTGTAAACATGAAACACACATACACACAATCCTCAAGGTTCTCAGACCAACACAGGGACTAACGTTCAGAGAAAGGTATTTAATTGGTACAAAAGGTAGCAAAAAAGACTGAGATGACAGGTTCCCACCAGTGCTCCTCCAGGTACCTGAAGGAGCTGTGGTGGTTATAATCAGAGCCCCTGCTCCTGGGCAATGTATGAAATCCACCTCAAGTCAAAGCTCTCACAGGGCTTGACCCAAGGATCTTACCCTGAAGTATCATGTAATCTCTCTTGTGTGATTTTTTTTTTTTTAATTTAGACTTTCCTTAATATCCCCAGAATACGGACTCTGTTTTCCTGTGGGGATCTGGTTCTGTTTTGTTGTTTGGGTATTTTTTTTGTTCTAATCCTCAATGGTTTAAGAAAAAAAGTTTGGAAACATGAGTGCTAAAAAGATTAAATAAACAGAAGGCAGGGAAAAAAAAAATCATACATTTGTTAGTTTAGTACCAAGCCATCTTAACCAAAGCTTTTGAGATGGCTTTGGGCATGATTTGGCAATACTGCAGAACCTTCCCTCAGGTGCATCAGGATCATGGCAGACAGCCTAAACACAGCGGGAAAGAAATCACTTCTTCTTCTCCACAGCAAGAGTAAGATACAACATACTTCTGCTGTTCAACAGCATTTTGGCATTTGCCACTTCATGTATATTATGCATATATACACTTCTCCCAGTCTGCTTCAGGGAAGTTCCTTCTATATTAAAGCAGAACAGGTCTATAAAAGATGAATGTTACCTCAGCAGAAATTCATCCTGCTTGGTTGAACTGTGTGACCTTTCTAATCTCCAGAGTACAGATTGATTTTTTTCTTCTTTTTTTAAATAGAAATAGGTAAGCTGTATTTTTCAAATATGAAGGCCTACATTTTCACTTGAGACAGTCTTTTCCAGCAGAATAACATTCAAATCAAATTCACCTTCTATGCCCACAAGCAAAATATTCATCAACTGTGCTGTAAACTCCATTCTCAAATACAATGAATGTATACATGCGTTTACAGCACTATTATGTTCTTCTTAAACTCCTTCCTTCTGAAGATCCTGAAGCATTTTAAAATAACTTGGTCCCATAGCACCCCTGTGAGGTAGGTAAAATATCATTATTCCCGTATATACAGACTGGGAAACTCAGCCACACAGAAGGTAAGTCATGCCCAAGGATCATGCAAAGATGTGGCAGATCTGTGAATAAAACCAAGCTCTCCTAGATGCCTCACCTATCTGTTAGACATAAGATCATCCCTTCTTCCTTAATTTTAAATTAAAAATAGATTAAGGATATTGAAATAATGATTCTCTTTTATTTGGCTCTCAGAATAGCAAACACACAGGCGAAGATGGATTTTTGATGGTGATGATTAAGATTTCCCCAGTTCTGATAAGGCTCCTGAGGCAGAAGTACAGTTGTGTACAGAAGCATGGAGCACACCCTTACTGTTTTCATATGTCCCCAGGAATGTAAGAAAACTGCTGAATTCTTCTGCTCATCTCATAGTTAATAAAAATAGGTGGCTGCACCCTGCTGGTATTAATGCCTTGGCACTACTGCAGCAACACCAGCAGATGGTCCAGTTTTTCTGCTCATGAATTTCTCACTTAATCTTCCTGATTTTTTACAATTTGTGGGTTTTGGTAAAAAACTGACACATTTCTAAATAGCTGTCATTAGAATAATGAACCACAGGAGACTAAGCAAACTGGAACAGCAGAAGGCGCCCTCAATGCACTGAGTATCTAAAATAAGTGCCCTGATCCACACGATATGTCATCTTACCATGGAGAGGTACAATACATAGGAAACTAGAAAATGTGTTTTTCTTTTTACAGATTAAAATTTAAAAAGTAAGAAATCTTTGTTAAGTCACGACTGCAGAGAAACTAACTCCCTGTTAGTTTCTAACTAACCTGATGCAGAACCTCAACCACTAGGAAATCTGCCATGGATCATAGAGAGGTCAATGCTTGAGTACTTCACTTCTGCAAATATAGAAAGGCTAAAATGCTTGCCTTATACCTATTCCTAGAATAGAGACGGATATTTTAAGTTGTCCCTTCTCTGGATTCATGGAACAGATTACCTAGAAAGGGCAACTAGACAGATAGCACAGATGAACTCATTGTATTTTCCTCATCAAATCCAAGGTGCTAGCAAAAATGTGTCAGGCTGCTGCTATCACGACTAAGCCATCTGTTTTGTGCAAACAAACAAATCTTAGAGAGAAATTAACAGTGACTGCACAAAGTGTATTTGCTGTAAAAAGGAGTTTTTTTCCACAACTGGTGTGGCTTAGGCATAATATCACTCAGTGGGTGCAGAAACACCCTTCTATGAATTTCTTTTTGTAATTTAATCTTATATATTGAATATCTTTCACAGGTAGGCTGACATTAACTGATTCATACACAGCAGTTTGTATTGCAAACATGCTGCTCATATCATAAACGAGGGATGGCATCTCCTTGCAATGAACACCCTGTAACAATTAATTTGTGTTTTTATGAGCTTTCATTATTTGCTACCTTGCAGCTCACCAGTGTAACTGCACCTGGTAAATACCTTTCTCTATGTACAATACAGAGATAATGGATATACGAGCTCCACTGTCAGTAGGTGATCAACAGCCCTGGGTTTAAGCAACTCTAACGTGAGGCTCCTCTTCTGTCTCCTGCCCCAGGCTGGTGTATGTCACCGAAGGCTCCAGCTGGCCAGTGGCTGGCAGGTCTACAACAGGTCCTGAAGGGTTTCGAAACTGCTTGTACACCCGAGGATCCTGGGCTACGTAGGTGGACGTGGAGGAGTAGAGCATCAGCCCAACAAGGATAGTGAAGAATGACAACAAGTAAAGTCCTGAAAACTAAGCAGAAATAAGAGTACAGTAATTAGACACAGCACCAGTCACCCTGTGTTCATCAAGACGCACAGATGGGGTAGGTACAGATCCTTGTTTTGGCATGCACTGCACACAACAAACTCCCTATCACTTCGATGTTGACTTTTTATGGGAATGACTCTTTGAAAGTTGATTTACTCCCATCAATTCCCCTGTCCTCCATAACCAAGAGCTAATCGGTGCCGTCCCGTGGGCCAGGTATATTAAGTCCCAGGTGGGACTTGGGAAAGCTGGGTTGTGGTCACAGATCCAAAACTGATTTTGTCGTGGTTTTAAACAAGCCAATTACTTCTCTTAGTCCAAGTTTCTCCAGCTCCAGTGTTGAGGTACCGTCATCTAAAAATGTCTGACAGGTAGTGAATAAATCTGATGTTAATTACAGCTAAACCATATGTCTATGAAGTATAACATGCTGTTGGTAATATAAAAATATCATCAAATAAACATTTCAATAAGCATTTACAACATATATACACTTAAAATATATTTTAATGAAGGCACTTTAAAAGCCTGCCTGCAGCTTCTCTTGCTTGTGAATAGAAAGTACATGTACATAGTACATAGTACATAGAAAATGTAATGTGAGTTCGGACAGGATGAACTTCTGCTGTGAAACATGCTCTGGGTTGACACCATGAGGTTTGAAAGCACATATGGAGGGCAGTTAACTGAAAGCTCAAGTACACGTATTTTGGCACAGCTTCACTAGATCAGAGGTCAGACTGAATTTTCAGACATATGCAGACTCGTGTCTGGACTAAAAATACAACACAAAGAACCTTCTTGGCAATCTGTTAGTCCTTTCAGATAAAACTAAAGGCAAAGGCAGGGTTTCAAAATCAAAGACCCTTGGATATTAGCTTCAGATACTGTGTTCTTGCTACAAGGGGCACAAAAATGGCTTAAAGCCCATATGACTTGTCTCCTGATTCTAGACCACGAGTTATTTCTTCATGCATGCCGTGTGGGAGAAACCATGAACGACAAATTGCATAGACAGCTTGTTGGGGATATAACTGATTTGTATTCAGTGAGACTTTCAGAAGTGCCTGTATTCTGCAACTTTTAGGAATCTGTACTTGAGCACTATGAACTAGCTGCAACCTGTTACTAGCTTCTTCATGAGGTACTTGACTAGTTTACAGGAAGGTGTCTGCAAATCTGTTTTTCAGTCATGACTGACTCTGTCTTGATGGATGCTCCATTTGTTTCCTCTGGATCCCTTTACCAGGGCACAAAATGAACAGACTGAACTATATTATCTTGGAAGTTTTTGAGCAATTCCATTTTTTATACTTAAAGAAATCATCATTGTGGAGAAAACAAATTTTACTTAAGCTGGCTTTGTAGTGATGTTAATTTGTTATCATTTCATAAACCTACAAAACCTCCATCCAATTTCCTGTCTGAGGAAGCATTTGGCCTTTTTACAGAATCCTCAGTATCTTTGAAAGCTTTGGACATGTAACCCATGTTTCCCACATCCAGTGTGCATGTTTCAGAGGGAAAGCAACAAAATGGGGAAAGCTTAAAACATGTAAGAAGGATTAGAGGGTAGAAACAGTTCTCCTTTTCATCAGCTATTAATTGTTTTTTTGCAGGTATGTCACCAGGTCCTCAGGTATTGTCTGGCAGTACAATTTGATGAAGCCATCCAGCTGTCCCACCAGTCACAAAGACAGTGTTGAGCCTCACCCTGCATCTGCTGAAGGATTTCTTCCATCTGACACAGGTCTGATAGAACTGTTTAGGCTTAGATCTCCCCCAGGTGGCAATCAAACCCAAGTCCATAATTTCAAAGCAGCTTCCAGTTCATTTCTCCCCTCCATTTACAGTTCAGTTTTGCTGTCTGCACTTTCTTCCCCCCTTTCACCTTGCATTTAAACTTGAGTATCACTTGGCAACAGTGAGGCTGGCTAAGCTCAAGCAAAACTCAGGAGCCAAATACATTCAATTTCCCATCCCTAGTTTCCCACTATCCCTCATTCCCACCTTATGCTTGAATTTCTCACCCCAGACCGCCAGTTGGCTTGCTCTACTGCATAGCCAGAGTGCCAGCCAGATTTGTGATTGCCTTGTGTCCTGTTGTGAGGAATCTGTGGGGCTTCCAGCAGCTAAATGTGCTCTTTTTCTTGCTCTAGGAGCTGCCCAGACAAAATCAATTTCACTTTGGTTCGTCACTCCAGCTCTACCATATCCCCCTCCTCCTGACCATCCCTCTCATTCCTCTCTCAGGGGCTTCGTGCCAGCGGGGTCTTTTGCCATCCTAGTGTCCTCCCTCATGGCAGATCTCCAGCCTGGGAGAAAGGGTTTGGACATAGCTTGGGGAAATCTGAACAAAGGTCTGTGAATCATTTGTCTTTGGTATCTGTGCACAGTTAGTCCAAAAAAGACCTGGATCCTGACAGCACTATGACAGTTCCATCTTTATCTTCCTTAGAAACAAGGTTCAGGCTGAATTGCTTTCTGCAGCAGCTCTCTGCCACATTGAAGTAGAAGGGTAGTTAGTAAGGTTAATATAGGAACATATGCTGCAGGTATATGAGAAATCTCTGTTTTTTGTCAATACCCTGTCAGACTGATTCAAAACCCTTTGAAATCAATGGGCATTTTCCTCCTATTAAAACAGCAGTGACTCCACTAGTGTGATGGAAAGATGCAGACAGAGTTTTCCAAATTCAAAATCTGTTCTAAGGAATGCATTGTACTGTGTTCCTCAGACTCTAGCTGAAATACTTGTATTTTATTGAAGATAGGATTTCCAGGCACACTGTACTGCTGTCTACATGTAGGTTTTGGAGGTTTTTTTATCTTGACCTGCAAACCTCATCCACTGAGATTCACTATTAAGAGACAGAAAAAAGAAACACATTCAAAACCAGCAAAAGAGCTATTCCTAAAAAATGAAGTGAGGGAAGATCACTTTTCATTGCTACTCTCTACACAACTGCAGGCTCTCAGGAAGTGTATAATTCTTCTCTCCAGCTAAAACGCTACTTGAAAATATTGTCCTTCATTTTTCTGACTTATCTCTTGCTTTCTACAGAAATGCATATCCACTAAGAAAAAATGTTTTTAAAATATCCAGATTGGTATGTCTCTCCAAGTCCTTCTTTCTTCCATGCTAAACAGGATAACTGTAAGCTATTCAAAGAGTAACATGATCAGAAACTGTTTAGCTCAGATTAGCTAATGAGTGTCACACACACTAAACAACATAAAACCCAACTCACGTTTCTATATCATTAAATAGTTTCACTACAGATTTTGCATCTACACATATAGGTAGATATGTACATAAGCTTGCTTATCATGAAGCTTATTGAGAGACCAGATGACTTTGTCATTAGTTCAATGATCTAACACTCTTGAGTCCTGGGTATGACTTTTAACCAGTGAATTTCTTTTGTGAATCACAATGACTTTAGAGGACTCTCAATTTCTTACCTATTTAAAAGAGATAATAACACTTGGTTACCGAATAAAGATGAGTTTACAGAATAAAAATGGGAAATAGGGATATCATCCTCTGAGGACAAGGCAAAGATCTCATTTGCAAAGTGCCCTACTTACAACATTTCAGATTTCACCACTAATGTGAAAAGCATCTACCAAAGCTTACTGAGTAGTCAAATGAAACAGTTAAATCAGCCCTACAGCTCTCACAACGTCTGCTCTGCTCTGATATCTAGGTGTCTATAACTGCTTTCACAACCACTAGTATTCAATATGGATCACATAATGATATTTACAAACATTAAAAATTTAGGAAAATGCAAAAAAAATGCCTTTTCTAGACATTACTAGCACCTGTGGTGAAAATTTCTTACACTAAACCACCCTTAACTATCAGCATGTAAGAGGCACATTTTAGGTGCCTGTCAATTTGCAGATAAACATACAAAGCAAAACCTAGACAAATGCATCATGATAACATGTCCAACAAGATTTGCTCAGTCTATCAAAACAAGCACTGATTCTGGGTGAGTGGATGTTTTTGGTGTTTATCTAAGAGATGTTCCTTAGGGACCCAGTAGTTGAATGCATTTGCCAAGTCAGGCTTAGTAGAAGAGCTAATGGCACCTGATGGCTTAGTTGCAGGAATAGGGGTCTTGTTCCTCACTCCAGAATGCGCTGCTGCAAAACCCCACCAGAAAACCAGTACTGTTCAGCTGACCACAGAAAATATACGGTGGAATCACTCTAACTTTCTGTTATCCATGTGCAGATTCTTTGACATTAGAAAAGAACCCAGACATACCTGCAGTGCTACATACAAGTGTGGATGAAGTTTACAAAACAAAATGTAGCTTTTATATACAGTATTTTTGTTGTAAGTGAATCAAAATTACACATTTTGGGAGTAAGTCAAGCATCATAAGATTCCTAAAATAAAGCAGATGAACATAAAGGCAGCTGAAAACTTAGGATCCTTAAAAATCCATAACAAACTGTTAAAACTTTCAAAATTTACTCCCTACTGGTTTTTATCTTTTTCTTCTTCTTATCTCTCCATGTGAAATCTGTCTTTCATACATCCTTAAATCATTAGGGGTAAAACACTTTTTCCTCTCTAAGACTCTTATGCTTTAAAGTAACCCACTTAGAAAGGTGGGTGCAAAAGAAACTTGTTGATGGGGAACAAAGAGTGCATCTGATTTCATTATCTTGAATAATGATTAGACAGTAACAGTAGAAGAAAAAATAGAAAGAAAAATGGTTTAAAAGGCAGTAAATTTCTGCCTGGGTCTGGAGAGAGCGAGTCATTCTTCAGTACACAGATCATGAATTTAGAAGGGAAAGCCTGAAGAAAGGGCATGGAAGAATCACTGTATCACACCTAGGAAATACTATGCTGACTGACTGACTGACTGACTGACTCCTGACAAGGGAAGCCGCAGACAAGTATTTATGACTGTCACAGATGTCCACGTCCATGTTACCGCCGACACGGGGGCAAAACA